TTTCACTGTTTTGGAACAGTCTAACAACGCGTATTAAAAATAGTTAATATTTACACACGTGCAGTTCCGAAACTACTAATGCTTTATCCATAAATGAGACATCGTTGGAAGCAGCAAAGTGACCGGTTGAATGATTTATATTTTTTTTTTTTTTAAACTGGACAGGTATCAAATTCTGGTTAGCTTTCGATGTAAATAAGAAATATATGTATAGCAAAGACGAACAGAGGGAATCTTCAGTTTCCACTGTCTTAGAACAGTCTAACAAGGCGTATTAATAATAGTTAAACTTTAGACGCGCGCAGTTCCGAAGCTACTAGTGTTTTCTCCGTAACTGAACCTTTGTTGGAAGCGGTAAACCTCCCCCTTTAAAATGGCGTTTGGTTTTCGTTGATCCGACTTTCTGTTTTCGAGATATCGTAATTTATGTAAAGGGTTAATTATTCAGTTTCCACTATCTCTCTGTCCGTCGATGTACAATACCCTATTAACGCGTATCAAAAATACTAAAACTTTAGACGCGTGCAGTTTCGAAACTACTAGTGCTTTATCGATAAATGAGACATCGTTGGGAGTGGTAAACCTTCCCCTTTAAAATGGCTTTTGGTTTTTGACGATCGGACTTTTCGTTTTCGAGATATCGTAATTTATGTAAAAGGTAATTTTTTAAATTTGAACTATCTCTGTCTCCGTCTGACGCGTCGCGGCGGACCTCTTTCGCGCGCGTGAGTCGAGACAGTCACGTGACTAGGAAGTCGTAGTATTTCCAAGAATTTACTACGCACTGTTTACTATTTTCACGCGCGCGAGATCAATGAACTCGCGAGCGCAACAGTGAAACGTAAACAAACCCTATCTCCGAAACTAGCCACCGCATCGACTTGAAACTAAAATCCTCATATCTCCGGAACTAATAACGCTATCACCTTGAACAAACGCTCATTTTAAAGGGCGTTTCATCCTCTATCCAATGACTGTACCAACTACTATAATTTTTGCTGTCTTCTATGTTTATTTTCACATTTACTTTGACGCTACATACCCAAAATAGTTTCAGTAATTCCTATTGATTATACGAGTGGTGTGCGATGAAACTGTATTATAAATTGTTTATTTAATTAAAAATGATTATTCATGAAGTGTCGATAGGTTTAGTGTTAAGAACGTTATATTAATCTTTATAAAGTATTTATAGTAATAATTGTCATCGTTCTCTAACTATGTATAAACAATCTATGTTCATATATCATATGCTAACCTGAAATTTTTAAATATAATACCGGTTCGATCCAATATAAATTCGCAGATTTGAAAATCTAAATGTCAATAATATTTCATTTGATAACTTTAAAAATATAGCCATATGCACGCAATTAACATGAATTTCTTCCGATCCGATAAAATGGAAAAATGAATATAAATCGTGTAAAATAATGGTAACCCGTCGAAACTATATATTATTTGAAAGCGTTGACTTTTTGCTACTTTTTCGTGCATGTGTCATTAAAATATATTCAATCGTTCGCGAGTCATTAATTTATTTCATTTTTCGTCCGACGGCACTTTCACTCCACCCCGTGCCCTACCCCCTATAAATTTGGAGCACAATTACCAACGCGAATTAATAACTACCGCACAGGTCGACGAATGTACAAGTGTTGAAGCAAACTTGCGGGGAGGGGATTTCATCGATTTGGAATAAGGTCCTTTCGCTTTCTAGTAGCAAACCCTCGACAAGAATATTTGTTTCTCACGCAGTTCAGTCGAATCACGCCAGCGAAAGGTGACGCTTCTAAGTGACTATACCAAAGTTTACAAATAAAACTGCCACGAATACGTTCGACGTTCTCAGCCTGGAATCCAACAACTCAAAGACGAAGCAAGTCAATAACTTCGAGCCAGCAGTAACCAACGCAGTGAGTAGGTTTTGATAAAAAATGAGCAAAATTTCCATCTAGATAAAAACTTCGAGTTTTTACAAAATTTGTATCATATACAGGGTGTTCGGCCACCTCTAGCAAAAATTTTAATGAGCGATAGTAGAGGCCAAAATAAGACGAAAATCAAGAATACTAATTTGTTGGTGGAAGCTTCGTTAAAAAGTTATTAACGTTTAAAGTGCCGCTCTTACTGAATTTTTTTCTCGAAAATGTGCAAGATTTCGGGGGTATGTCTATTCACCAAAAATGACTGTAATTGAACCCTACAACCGAAAATAATTTTTCCACAACGATTTGCAATTTTTTAATTTTCTCGAATAATTTCACACCTTCTCTATTTTTTTTCTCGAAAGTGGGCAGGATTTCGTGGGTATGTCTAATGACAAAAACTGATTGTAATTGACCCCCGCAACCGAAAATAATTTTTCCACAACGATTTGCAATTTTTTTTCTCCGTTGAAAAATTTAGGCACCTAATTGGATTTTCAGTAAGGAATTTTTTTCTCGAAAGTGCGTACGATTTCGGAGGTATGTGTAATGATAAAAAATGATTGTAATTGATCCCCGCAACCGAAAATAATTTTTTTAAAACGATTTGAAAAATTTTTTTTCGCCGAAAAATTTCAGCACTTACTCGATTTTTTTTCTCGAAAGTAGATAGGATTTCGGAGGTATGTGTACTCACCAAAAATGATTGTAGTTGACCCCCGCAACCGAAAATAATTTTTCCAGAACGATTTGAAATTTTTGAATTTAATTGTTAATAACTTTTTAACGAAGCTTCCATCAACAAATTAGTATTCTTGATTTTCGTCTTATTTTGGCCTCTACTATCGCTCATTAAAATTTTTGCTAGAGGTGGCCGAACACCCTGTATATAAATATATATTCTATCCTCGGTTGAATAAGATTAAGTATTTGAAACTCGTAGTTCTGAAAACGACTCGAACGTAGAATCGAAACATTAATAAAAATCTGTGGAAGACCGAAATTTCCTTTTCGCTTAATTTATTCGCGAGCCACTCTTTCAATTTGAAAAAAACAATGTCTTTTCATTCCATATCGCGAAAGTATTGTACTTGAATCTAGATCATTGCGAGGGGTTTAAGCATTGCTTCCTGAAGGACTTGTTTTTCAAGATGTTCCATGCGCGTAGATGTTGGCGATGACTAGTAAAATGGACGAACCTGCTTACCCTGGTACTTGGTCGTAATAGTCGACTTGGAATAGATAATAGATGTAAAGCAGAGATGTACAAACGGTACGAGATCGTCCGGTAGTTGGACGCGGATTACTTCTGTGTTGTATTTGATCGGTATGTTCGAATTACAATTCGATATAGAATCTTATCGCGGTTATCTTCCGGTTCTAAATGGATGTTCTTTACTTTCGTGCACGAAGTGGTTGTTTAGTATCGTATAACAGATGCTATTATTACTTGATCCTTAGATCCCTAATGAAGCTAGCTGCTACATTAACGAAGCATTTGAAATGCTCTATTGAAAGATCGAAATCTACGAAGTTGTTAAAAGTTTTGTTCACGCAGTATTAAAGCTGTATAAAGTAATAAAGTAACTTCTATATATTTGCTGTCGGAGCAGACACATTCGAATTCACCGACTATTTTTACCAAAGACCATCGTTCGTTAGGGGATTCAATGGCTACAAACCAAAGGTCTTTTCGCGAGGAAAAAAACTGCAGATTGAAGCAAGTTAGGAAAGATTCCACTAACTCGTGATAGAAGCCTTATCGGCTTAATTAATCCTGCAAAGTGACGACGCGACGGAGGATCAGTTTTATTAGATCTTCCTCCTTAAGGTGCCGCTAACCTTTCTGAGACGCATGAATTAGCGTCAAATCGATGCCATGTTTACAGAAACACTTATATCAGTGTATCTTAGAATGCTGTCGATAGAGCTCGAAGAAGAAATGAAAGATATGTTAAACGATATATCTGAAACAAAAGTCTTGCACGTGTGTCAATAGTAACAGATCGTACAACCTTATCCATTTCTCGAGGCACGAAGTATGAAAGCTTTCAGAGGATGTACACATAATAATCAGAATAATTATTATTATCGAATGCCATTATTTCTATAACAAACTTCTCAAAATTATTGACTTGTATCGCATTATTCACCATAAATTCGAGACCACCTCTTGTAATATTTTCGTATACAGCAAGAGACAATAGTATCTTATATCTATGTGCGAAAGTATGTTTTTGTAATCGTTTTATGGCACTATTATACATTTTATTCCGTAGATTATATAATATTACCATAATATGGTGATTCAGGAAAGATAGCTCTTCCTTCCTTGTTGATATGTGAGAACAGAAAATTATTTCGCGGAAACCTTGCAGCAATGCATCACTTAAGCTCAGACACTTTTAAGAAATAATGAGTCAAAACGTACTAATGGTACTAATGTTTATATGTATGTACAATTAGCTAATTTCTGGGATATTTCCACACTTGATATTTACATATTTCCTTAATTTAATTTCCTTGAATAATAAATGAGCTTATGTACGCCTTTACACACTTCACACTTTCAAGTTCTCTTTCGTTTTCACAATTTAATTTCCCGTCTTATCTTTTCGTTCCCACAAAATCATTATACTCTGTTACGTCTCTATACTTTTCCTCCTTTCTTAAGAGGGTCTAATGTTCCTTTAAAAACACATGAACAACAGTTACAATTCTACCGTAAACTGAAGCTCGATTCGATATCCTTAACAAATTATACACACAAGCTATTAAATTTCTACAAAACATGCCTTCTCCTTATTACCAAGGGGGTGGCCTCAAACTTATGGTCTGTAATACGTGTACGCAGGGTCAGCAACGCACATTCGTCGTTCGTTTTATTGTTCCCAGACGCCTTCAAGTATATATTAGCATTGCCCATGATTAATAGGGATAATGAAGAACGTGATTACTGCTAATGCTATGCATTACTTTCTGTCTATATTGCAATAGCGTTCGCGTCATGAGCACGAGTAAACGCGCGCTGATAGGCTAAACGTATCCGTTTGCTTGATGCTGCTTACTTACATGCTTTGCTACGCAGGTCCCAAATTTTTAGGGTACGATCGTAACTGCCAGTAACTACTTTTGACGGCTCGCCAAGAAACTTCGCCGCCATCACCTTCGCGCAGTGGCCCGTTAAGGTGTGCTGAAGCAGAAATGAGAATGTCGTTTTAGAACATTTACCAACACATTTTGCGTAATAATAGGATACTCCGTACAATACATGACGTACTAAAAAGGATAATAATATTTGGTGGCCGGATTCTATTTGCAAGCATATTGTTGCGAATATGGAACCGCAAGAACGAGTAACGCTGCTGAAAATATTGATTTGCTCGTATAGAATAATTTTAAATCATTATTACATTAGTACACTTTCTGCATTTCCAATATCCAAGAAAAGAGGCAGGTTTTATAAAATTATTTAGAAGAACACGAGTAATTCGTCAGGCTGTCGTCCCTGTAATAAAAATGTCAGCAGCTAAAAGTAGTGTAACGTGAAAACGTCCATCGACACTTCCGTACGATGACAGTGAATCCATTTAATAGTAAAGAATTCAAGCGTAACGTCGACAAGGGAGGCACGAACAACTCGAGGGCTCTTTTCCGTAAAAGGGGCGCCATGAAAAAGAAGACCTCGCCAATTTTAACGTACACGGTCGTCGGGAGCTCTTGAAAAATGTCCTAATGTAAATTAATGGTGCGGAAGTTTAGCCAGAAGGGCTCTAACGCGAAAGAAACACAGGTAGGAGCATACAACATCCACCAGCGTTATACGAGCTGGGGAGGAACTTTTTCCGCTTCCATAAAAGAGGAAGATAGCGAACCGAACTATACGATAATCTAACATCTCAAGAAGTTGGTCGAAAGTGCAGAGACGAGTCCTCGTTTCTTACGAGGAACATTAAACAATCCAGCGGATACTCTTTCTCGATCGCCTTTCGCCCAAGAGGGCTCGAATTTACGTATACATTGTTTATAATTACAATATTCGATGCTTTAAAAATTTATCCGAATGGCGAAAAAGAGCTTTTAATTTCCACCGTTTAACGATGGAATTTATTTCGTGCCATTGATCTAGATTCGACGTCATTCTGATTTCGAAAGTAGATTAGACTTCTACTTAAGAGTAAATAAACCGTAACAGAAGAGATAAAAAGAAACGACGTGATCTATGTACAGTAAACTTTAGTCGTCTCCCCCCATGTATCACTTTTATCTTTTAATGAAATGCATCTTGCAAAGAATAGTCCGGTAACTATTAGCATCCAAATAATTTCTGTAACTATAGAGTTTCCTGCGTTCATTAAATTACATAAGAGATATGTAAAAGATATGATGCGAAAAAAGATAAAAGTGATACGCGAAAGCCAGTGAGAATGTTGCATGAAATGCACAGAGCCTCGATAAACGACAATGTTGTGTCAATTATAATCTCATCAAACTAATGAAACCACCAAGCTAGTTAATACTAGCAAGGACAGTTAATCACTGACAACTTTGCCATTACTCTATGCTCGAAGAACTCTGTGAAAATCCAGTTTCTTAAAAGTGCAGCCCATTTAATCAAATATGAGGTCCTTCGGGGTAATATACCAACATTATACATCGAGAATATATGAGCACATCTTGGTCTTCTGCTTTCAATCGTAGTACCGTTGATTTTCTCATCAAACGACCAATTGCTAAGGAAACGTTCACCAACTGTTGAAGTCTTCCAAAACTCATCATAGGCACCCTTGCCTTCCTATACCGTGCACTACCAGAGAATCTGTCAAAGTTAGCATCTCTTGATCTTCTGGTAGGATTCGACGGAGAACCCTGAGGAAAACCTCCTTCTTCAACAGCCTGTCGGTCAACTAGCAACGAAGTAAAGAAGATAGAAGTAGCAAGGGAACTCGCATCAGCAGAATCAATTGAAGAAGCAAAAAGTTCACTTGACTAACCAAACGAGCAATTTCTGAAAGAAACCGAAGAGGAAGGTAGCAAGAAGATTACCGAGTGATAAAGATTGTCGGTGCCCCGACTGTGATGGAAAGTTCAATGATGACCGGAACGGTGAGAACTGGCCACTGACAATCTTTATCACTGAGCAATCTTCTTGCTACCTTCACTTTTGGTTTTCCCCAGCAATTGCTTTCGACTAATAGATTGTTACATCCGGAAACAATAATAGTAATGAGTATTCCACGTTACGTTCTTAACGAAGAACAGGAATCCCTCTGTTATCCACTGCAATAGGAGTGGTCAGAAAATAGGGGGATGTTCGATGGAAAATCGCCTCTCAACTGTGTCCATATTGTTGCAACTAATTTAAGAGAAGCTTCAACTAAACTTCCATCATTTAATGGAATCGGTTCGATTGAAAATCTTCTTCTAAATAAAGCAGTAGAGAAGGTTAGACAACATCGTGGGCGTAGGATCGGACGTTCTGGATTTCGTTTCGAGTTCCTCGAGCGTTCCCTGCGCCAGGCACGAAGCGTAAACGCACCCTTATGCATCGTTCTCGGAAAGCGGAGGCCAAGATTCACAAAATACAACTGATATAGTCTTTTTTTACGACGAGCGGGAACGCAAGGCGTGCACCAGATGCGTACTCGGAATAAAGACATAAACTCTTTCGTAGAGATCAATCGTGGCTGAACTGCCAGCGGAATTCGAAGCAGAAAGAGGAACAGGGCGAAAGATGAATAGGTGGATCCTCCGAGCCGTACGAACGTTCAATTAAACTCGATAGAAGTACCGAAGAAGAAGCTGGTAACTTTCCTGGAAACAACTACCGACCCCAGTTTTACAACCAGTGCGTTCGTTTCGTTTTTAAAGCGCATAAGAGCGTACTGTACTCGCGTTTCGCTACTGGAAACACACCTATAACCGGCGTTAGTTACAGAGCCGAACGCTCTGATTTCGTGATATAATCTCGGAAAATATTCAAACGAAACACTATATCTCCCTGCCCGAATCAAATTGATTCCCTCGCAAATAACAGCTTTTTGTGTCCAATAAATTAAGAATACTGTCCGTGTATACTTAAAATCCAACATGTTGCGTAAGGAAGAAGTTTGCGATCGCGTTACGATAACTGAATCAATCTTCTGCTCGAATGGTGATCCTATTCGACTTAATGTGTGAAATTGTGATCTCTGATAGTAATAATAATACGTTCTTATTGCACCCAGAGTTACATAAAACACGGATCGAGAGATTAAATTATAATCCGTGGAAGCAGAGATAAATACATATTCGCGCCGCAGAGATTAGGTACAGTTATACGCTGTTATTAACATAATCTGGAGTACCACGTATTGAGAGAAAGAGAAGAATGAAAATTCATGTGATATAAGAATAAACGTTATAGGAAATGTATGGATTCTAAGAAAGATGTGTCTGATAATTTAAAAATTTTCAGTACTTTTAAACGATTTACTGCAACGAAGTTGTTTGGTTGCTTTAAAAATTAAAAAAAAAGGAAATACAAGAATTCTATTTTAGAAAATGAATGAACGTAAATTCGATGTACGGTGTTTGCCTCTGTACCGCAACACTATTCCCACGAATACGTGATTTTGATTACGTGAGAAGTACGAGTATTACGTATGAATGGAATCGGTTTCATTCACTTTTCATGAACTTCGAAAAACATCTTTATTCATTTTGATCGTTTTCATTGAACGTATTGCATGCAAGATTAATTGGGCTTACAGTAAGAAGGTGATTCACGAGGCGAGCGGAAAATCGTAGAAAATGTTTGAGTCCTGAACACCCTAAAGTTGCAGGACTTGGTAAATTGTATTTACTTAAAAGTAAGAGCGTAAGGTAAAAATCTCATTTAAAATTTTGAATGTGATTATTTTATAGATATCTATTTTTATTAAAGGTCTAAACTATTCGGCTATTCAGGGACCACATAACGAGCCTTTAGTTATCTCAAAAAATTCATCTCCTTCTTGGCCTCACGACGAACAGTTGCCTTCTTTGAAACGTTCGAGTAACGCTAAAGCGTCTTTGATCTTTATATCGTGCAAAATTTATTGCCTCTGGCCCGATAACAACTTCCAATACTTCAAGAACTTTTAAAGAAGAAATATAGCAAGTTCCATCGTTTCTAAGCTAATAAGTGTTTACAATTAAAACTAGCGCTTCCATAAAAAGGTTAACTAGGTAATTCTCTAGACAGACTTTTGAAATACAGATTGATGTTAAGTTGAGTTTTATTATGTTTCTGTGTAAAACACTGCCTTTTTGTTTGTTTACAAGCATGTAAACGTTATTAATAGCGTATTTCTACATACTTTTACTTTCAGTAATGGGTACGAATGTCTGTGTTATTACTCTAGTATGCCACTAATTCAATTTTAACGGCTATATTTTAACGGCTAAGTCACAGTGTTATACAATTTATTTTCAAAAACTTCTATGTTAAAACATTCTCCAACCGTGGGTCTCGCAAACAATGTACATGTATCAAAATGCGGCATCGAATCTTTCGTTACTGCTTCGTGTGCGCCCTACCACAGACTTTTCAATAAATCATGTTTCGATAAGTCATCGTAAATCGACTTTAAGATCTTCTTGCGCAGCTTTATAGAGGGAGGGCTGGTGATTAAAATTTTCAAGCCGATCTTCCGCTTCGGCGCGACGCTGTGAACACGGAACTCGAAAGTCCTGGGGAGCGTTACCGATGCTGGGTGATCCTCGTCGGTGGGAATTTTCTAAAAGAGCGTACTCTAAATTGCTTTCCTCGTTTCTTTTCTAGATTCCAAGTTTCTCCCGATGGTTATACCGTAATAAGCCGTTGGATCGGCGTTAAGTTTGTCCCGTTAGTTTTCCGAGCTTCCTATAAAGATCGGTACGAGACGAGTCGATAAATAACGCAGGATTTGACGTCGCAACAATCACGACCGCACTCGTTCGGCTTCGGAATGTCGGTAAAAGTATCATACAACAATCTCGGGAATACAGAGGAGAGACGTCAAATGTTTTAGAATCATCGCTTAACCGTTACATTCTGATCGCCACGCATGCGTCAAACCTAAGCACGCGTATCGAAACACGTCGACCATCGCACGACCGATCATTTTTTACATTTCGACGAGATGTTTCGGGAAATTTTTCTGAGACTTCGTACCAACTGAAAATGCAATA